GTGGGTAAATTATGTACCTATTTTTGAGGTAAATTTTAGTTCTGTATCTCTGTGCCAACTACAATAGCACTGTGAGAGCGGACTTCACGGGGGGAATAAGTCAGCCCCTTCATTGGATGCCTGGGGGCTGTTTCCTTTGTCATTAACACTCCAAGTATAACACAAAGCCCCCAGCAGCCCTGGGCAATAGAGCACTAGGCTTTCCAGTTTCAGATCAAAGCCAAGCTCTCCCTGGGAAGCCCTGAGATTGCACAATGCGCTATCTCCTTTAAGGCAGCAGCTCAGAAAATCCAGAGCCTTTCTCCAAGACTTAGCACTTATTTCTTTATGGCAAACAACTGGATAAAACAAGCTCTACCTTTAGAGACCTCTAAAGCCTGTTTAGGCCCACAGGAACACCACATATGAGTTCTAAACTGGCTTTCAGCCTGGAGAAGGGAAGATCTCCTAAGAAGTGACATTGGATTTACCCCCGAGGAATTCAGAAGCACAATCAGTACTACCAGGCACATCAAACTGGAATCTTCCTGAGAGAAATATTACCCACTCAGATTTTCACCCTTCCAACACACTTTCCATCTGCAAACCAAGCTCTAATCCAAATCCAGAACCTGAGGTTACCCATCCGTTCCTGGGCTATACTGGAAAGCAGCTGCCTTGGGTGGAAACAGTCTGAGCACTTTCTTTGGTTCCAATTAGAAAATAACCAAAAAGAAGTAGGCATATTCTATTTGCCTTGACCAAAACCTTGTGTTCTTATATAATTTCAAGAGAAATGAACTTGTCTATGTGTACAAAAAAAGATATACCCAATTTGTCCTATTATTCCTCAAATTGATGAAAAATCTATGTGAGCTGATGACAGGCTACTAGAATTGCTAGGGCACAAGGAAGAGGAACAATAAAAGGATCTCCTCCTGCTTTCTTGAAGGGTAAGCCCCAAAGCTTCCTCATCTGGAGCTCAAAGGAAGGCTTCCCTGTGGCGGACTGCTGCACACCATCTGCCTGCCCTTGAGGATGCTCACATGAAGATTTCCCCTCTTCGCCTCCTCCTTCAGCAGTTCCTTAATCTGCATGCTCCCAACTCGATTCTTTGGTTTAGGAAAGGTCTCAATATCATAAAGTATCAGATTATTTATCAGAGCCATCTACCCCTCCAGAAAGTTCCCAGTAATAGAAGGCAATCTCCTATGTGTGTGTTTCAAGGCCCTCCAAAATTCACCTGTAATAGACCTTCATGTTCAAACAAACCTGTAATAGATAGTGTTTCTGCAAGCTCAAGATCACTCCCCAACTCCCAAAACACACCTTTGACCTTTTCCTCAGATTTTCCCAGCCTGGCTCTGACTAGGGCAAGAACATAGTCTTGGGCACACTGTCTGACACAAGGGTACCTGGCCAATGGAACAAAGAGAGAACAGGAGCTGCAGCTCAGCTCCATTCTTTTTGCCAAGCATATGCCCTGTGATGAGACTCCCTGGGGAACTAAGCATCCTTCTGTAATTTGCACAAAGGTGCCATGTGGGCTAAAAGATGTCCTGGCTCCAACATCTCTTCCCATGTAACTATAAGAATAGCTGGAATGTAATAAAGGAGACTAGAAACCTACTCCAAGTGCATGCCTATTGCTCAGGCTTTACGTGCATAAAATTACAGTACCACTGCAAAGTGGAGATGATTTCTCTCCTTACATCTATATTGTAAATCTTTGTTAACTTTACGATAAACATAGAACAGAGTCTAGCACTTTCTGTAAGGGCTCTAGGGAATTCTTTAAGTAGAAAAGCAACTACAGTAACTCTCCAGGATGAAGAGGGATTGCTGAAGCAACATCCATAGTTTTCATTCATTGCACTGTTCTCCTCCACATCCTTGCTCAATTGAACTCCTAGCTGCAGATCAGTTCTGATCCAGTAACAAACTTCTCTTACAAATGCAAATTTCCTATCTTGTAAATTCAAACCAAGACAAGAGTTCTTAAATCAAAACATACCATTCTCCAGCTTCAAACTTTTCAAGATAAAACTTAAAAAGCATGGCATACAAGTCTTCAATACCTGATCCCTGACTAATAGGCAAACCCACTTCTCACCACTTTCTGGCTTTTAGCTATTCTCGCTTCCTAGTCACACAGGAATAACTGCAATTCGTCATAAGACCCATATTCCTTCTTCTGACATGAGATGTGTGGAACATGTATGATCTAGCCTTGACTATAGTTTCATATCATCCAAGTGACAAGACTCACACATCATCCAATGACTGTCCATTCTCATTCCACAAAACTCCACTAAAACCTGTCATCGTTGCTTTCCAGGCCAAAACCTGCCATCTCCCACTAAATGTCACTTCCTCAAAGAAATTTTTGCAGTTTATGCACTTTGCAGAATTTTACTTTTGTTCCACAATATAAATATAAGTGAAATGATTTGTGTGCTTCTCTACTAAACTTTAAAAGTTCCATGAGAACAGAGGACAGTATCTGTTCACTGCCTGTTACATTCAGCACAGTAGCTAGAAACCAATAAATACAGAAGATGATTAAACCATTCATCTCAATTCTAGAACTGTGCTGTCCCTAACAGCAGCCACTAGCCCATGTGGTTATTGAGTCTTTGGACTAAATGGATGCTAAAAGGAATTGAGATGATGTTCAGGTATAAAACATACACCAGATTCCAAAAGAGTAGTAAGACTAAACAAATACATATCTTATTAATGTTTTCATACTCATTAAATGTTTAAATGATAATATTTTGGATATTGTAAGTCAAGTACGATCCATAAAAGCTAGAGTATTTTAGGTTTAAAACAGAGCTACTTGAAATAGCCACAGAGATAAATAGCTGGCCTATGTGATATGTATGACAGATCCATTATAGGAGTGCCCTTCCTCTCATTTGCTAATTTCTCATTCTTGAATACTCAAGGATACAATAGTTGGCCTGGGAAGCCTTCCCAGGGTGCCCTCTACCATTATACTCAAGGTGTGTTATATTACCTTATTTCTGATGAGATCCCTCAGTACCAGCTTCCAAAGGAATTTAATGAACAAATAATGAAAATCACTCCTCATTTCCCTTAAAAGCCATATGCTGTAGACTATTATAGCTAAGCTCTACATAACACTTTCTTAAAATGGAGTAAGAGCTAAGGAGTAAACAGCACAGAGAGAGAGAGAGAGAGAGAGAGAGAGAGAGAGAGAGAGAGATGGGTGGGGGGAGAGGAAGAAGGAGAGGGAGAGAGAAAGAGAGAAGCAGGGGAAAAGAAAGGAAACTCACTCACTTTGATAGGGAACAAGAAATTATATAATCAGGATGTTGCCTAAACTAGGCAATATATTTCAATAACTTCTCATCAGCCACTAGACTAAGGGAAGTACATCTTTTACCCACTGAGGAGCTCCCAAGAATCCTGGGATAACTTCAAAGTTCTCAGTGATTAGGTCTTCTTCAGATAAGCTGCTCTCATCCTACCTAAGCTAGAATACCCCTAGCCCCCTAAAAACAGCTTCAAATTCAGCTACATAGTCTACATTATCATAATGCTTTGGCTGATGATGCAGGCACAAAAATTAACATTCAAGAATTTCAGAGTTGTGGTTGCTGTGGGAACCTTAATTCCAACTGTAGGGCACAGATGCAGAATCATGGACTACTCCCAATACTGATAAAATTGGAGATGTATATTTACTCTGTGCAATGAGGCACAGCTACAGTTACTGAGACAACCTCATTTTGGCATTTCTATGCTTTCAATGCATTTAAATTCTCAACCTTACCTCAATACTGTTTGCTGCATTAAATTGCCTTCTCTTTGGAGAAAAAAAAGAAAGAGAATGAACTGATTGGCCAGACATTCAAATTACCAGTCCTGTATGTGTTTCTATGCATGATCTGATTCACAGGCCAATCATGATATTTTTATTTTACTCTTATGGGCTGTCTATAAACTCTCACACAAATGGAAACAGAGTATGAATCTCAACTTGTGAATGTACCATGACATGTATATGTGCCAAACATTGGAAAGCAAATTATATATATATATATATATATATATATCTATCTTTACAACTACAAAGGGGATAAATTTAAAGCAAAAAAAAATTTTTAAAGCTCCACAGCACTCCTTTGCTTTTTCACAATGTTTAATTTCTGAAAACTGTCCAAACACTTGCCTCTGGCCCTGGCTCACTGAGGACCTAGTTCTATAACTAGTCAACAAGCACTTAAGTTAGCAAAGGGCAATAACAAGAGAGTGAACAATGTTTATAAAAACAAAGATATAAACAAACCCAAGAAAATGTTCAGTTTAATCCCTATGCCCAATCTCTCACAACTCAGAAAGATGGAAAGAAAATAAACACAAAAAATTTAAAAGAGGAAAATAACTGCCAATCGACATTTTGAATATCAAATCTTGTTAGGTTTCATGCAAAGAATTAATTTTTCAGTACTGATATGCTCAAATCATACACCTTGTTCATTTAAGCATGACAGTCAAAAGACACAACAATACAGCAGTCAGTATAGCATGTAACAGTTAACACTTTCAAAAGATGAGGAGGTTACCGGAGAGAACACATACACAAAGATCTACTTTGTCCTACAGCAAAAACGTAAGTAGCAAATAAAAATTATCAACAGGAACAGGTCCTGTGGGTGACACACAGATTTTTTTCCTCTCCTTAGTCTTAGAAAAATTAAGGTCTTGTCAGTAAATAAAACATATCCACTATTTTACATATCCCATCCTAACTGTACTCAAACCCCCTCAGGAAGAGTACCAAAAGTGCCTGTTTCTGAAATGTAGCGGAGCAGCGGATATGGTCAGGAGACACGGAGGCCTGCCCAATGGTAGCCAAGCTGCAAATTAGGAAATAATGCTTTGAGGATATAAAATATTTATTCTTTTGCATTCTCATATACGGTACCACATTTAATTCTCTAGCTCCGTCTCCTAAGAGTTTTGCAAAGAGACTATTTCTGTTCTCTCACCTGTGTGTTCTCCCCCTCCAGCCTTGGTGGTCGGATGCTGGACAGATGAATGGTCTTGTAGTCTCCAGAGTTGAGCTTCACAACAATGGCATCAGCATTCAGAACCTGCATCACCTGTAAGTAAGAAGGCAAAACGTTTAAACTGAGCCGGGTACCGGTGGCTCATACCTGTCATCCTAGCTACTCAGGAGGCTGAGATCTGAGGATCGCAGTTCAAAGCCAGCCCAGGCAGGAAAGTCTGTGAGACCCTTATCTCCAATAAGCCACTAGAAAACTGGAAGTGGCATTGTGGCTCAAGCAGTAGAGCATTGGTCTTGAGCTGAAGGGCGCAGGGATAGCGCCCAAGCCCAGAGTTCAAGCCCACGACTGACCAAAAAAAAAAAATGCTTAAACTGGCTTCAGTGCTCCCCACTACACATCAAGGAGCCAGGCCCATCACAATTACTAACAGAGAGATAAACAGCTATTTGGGATAAATCCAACACCATCCTTCATCATGCCACAATGCATAAGGCATATTGTAAACTATGTAATAATCACTGATTCCTAGAGACCTTATGATAATTTCTCAATGAGATATCATTCATAAAGATGGCTAATCTTGCTTTTGGCCCTGACCAACACGTATGGTTAACCATAAAGCTTAAGAAACAAAATTCAATCTCTACATGATATTGGAGGTTTTCCTTGAAACAGGTGCTAAACTAAAATCAAACCCTCTATATCTCAGTATGAATCTAGGGAAAGAGGCCAGGGGTTGCATTAGAAAAAGGTACCGGTACTAGATGAGAAAAAATAAATAAATAAAAGATTTCAAAAGGCAAGTGAAGGGCAAAAGAATTGTCATCTCAGCAGAAGAAAGGAAAGGCTCAGCTGTTAATCTCACAGACAGAAACACTAAATTACTAAGATACTACCTCAGCTACATTAAAAGCCACCTTTTTAGAGCACTTCTATGGACATGTCTGTTTTTGGAAACCACAATCATTAACATTGCACCCCATTTCTCAGCTAAAAACGATTAACTTCCAGTCTGGGTACAAGGATATCCATTTGAAGGGCAAAAGCACAAATATTTCTCTGTGAAGGTTATTAGAACGTTCCATACAGAATAAATTCCATTCAAACTGGGACAGTGCCACATCAGGGTTATAACCAGAACCCATAATACAGCCAGCAGTCTACAATTCACCCAATTATATTCAAACCCTGTTGTTTCAAGGCTGTTTGGGATTTTTTTTTGCAAGCAATACTTTGCTACAAGGTAGCTGCTGACTACAAAATACTGTCACCATCCACTCCATCTGCAAAATGAAAATCAAACACTTCTATGCTCCAATCAGGCCCCCATTAGGAACCACCAGGTGGCTGAACTATAGGGTCAGCTGCCACACAGGGATGGTAGGCTGGCAAAATGTCTCTCTTCTTTTATGCATAAAACAAAAGCAGCTAGACTCTCCTTTGCCATAATGGATGTCACACTGGTAAGCATCTTAAAGAAGGCCTCTCTATTTCCTGGAAGACTTATTTTTCAGAAACAAAATACTCATATCGATTTGCAGACTCCTCTAAGTGCAACTATTCTCTATCTTTCCCAAAGAATCATCCAATCACATACCAAAAGAATAAAGAATGCTCTAAAGGACAATCCGAAAAAAGAGTAAGAACCCAAAACAAGTGAGAAATTATGCGTGACAAAAAAAAAAATGGCAGGAGCTAAGTGCCATCAAATAAAAATAATGAAAAACACAAGGCAAAGTCAGGAGCTGATGGTTCATGCCTATAATTCTATGTACAATCTGAGATCGGAGAATCACAGTTCAGAACCAGATCTTGTAGACTCTTATCCCCAATTAACTAGGGGGAAAAGAAGCCAGAATTGGAGGCATGGCTCAAGTTGTAGAGTACATGTCTTAAATGAAAAGAACTGAGCAAGAGCAAGAAACCATGAGCTCAAGCTCCCACAGTTATCTAAAAGTGGAGAGGGGAGAAAGAGAAAGGGAAGGAGGTAAGGAGGGAGCGAAGGAGAGGGAGAAGTAGAGGGAGGGGGAGAGGTGGGGAAGAAGAAAGGTAAAGGATGGGGAAGAGTGAAGGGGAAGGGGAAAAGGAGGGAGAAGAAGAGGAGAGGGGAAGTGGGGAGGAGGAGTGGGTGGCTGAATCAAGCTCTATAGTGAAGGGGTTGAGTAGGAAGAATAGGAAAATTTCAATTTTCTACTATACATAGGATTTATAATTTCAGAAGAACCTGAAATAATAATAATCATTTTCCTATAATCCTTCATGACAGATCTGGGAATTGAGAAAACTAAACACTAAAGACCAGGGAGGAAAGAATCCAAAATTCATCTGGCCAAAAAAGATTGACCAAGACTCAGGGGTAAGGAAAGGCTGGTATATGGTCACACCAACACCATAGTCAGCACTAGTTACCCATGTCTGGGGTAGTACTGAAGCATATAGGATGCTCCAAATCAAAGGGCCTTTTATGCCAACATGATTTTCGAACCTAAAAACTGTCAGGAAGGCACAAACAGAAATACTGATTCAGTAACTGAAAACAAAGAGAAATCTCATTTGTTACCATCTATTCACATTAGTGCCAGGTGAAACTGCCTAATGATACCAGTAGTGGACAACATCCAAAATAGAAAAGCCCCCGCAAATGATTTCCCTCTGCATCACAAATTCCACATTGGTGTGAAAGAAAATGGATAATAGAATATTCGAAGAGTGAGTTTCCATGGTATATGCTATTCTGTTATTCTAACTTCAAAGAGAAGAGAATTCCTCCAAGTCATACCCAGCAAAATAGGTAGCCTAGTAAATCAATATAATTCTTCCTTCAAAAGGATACCCAAAAGATAGTAAGATAATCTTCAGGCATCTCAAATGCACACATCTCACCCTATTTCCAAAATCTCAGTGTTGGATAGATTCACATCTCCTCTCAGACCCCAACTAACTCTTGTTAAACAAGCAATTGCCAAAATCATAGAGAAATTCTTTTAATCAAGACATGAGAAATATAGTGACATTCTCTGTGCCCCAGTCATGCTCAGCCAGGAGGAAGTATCAAAATGCTCACACCTTCACTCCAATTCTGTGAACATCTTAGCACACCCTGTGACAAGGTACTGGTTATTCGTCAGCTCTTACAACGTGTTAGAGCAGCAGCAGAAAATGGATTCTCAGTGTTGTAAATTTTAGGCCACAGCAACAGACTCTCTGCTAGGCATCTCCCTGATTAGAAACCTCCTCTTCAGGAACTACGTACTCTGACTACTCTGACGCTGACAGCAATGGAAGGCTTAGCTCCCGGAGGAAAGGGGGATGGTGAGTGAGCGCATGTGTCCATACGCATGCATAGGAAAAGTGTTTATGGCTTTCTGTTCCTATGTAACCTGTGTCATTACTATCCAGATAGCAAGCAGCTCCTAAGCAGAGACAGAGAATAAGTAATGAAACACTGGTTAGAGTCACATACTATGCAATAAGTAAAATGCAGAGTAGATTATTATACAAATTCCTGTTCACCAGCAGTGATATTTCTGAGGGCATTTTCCATCCACATAATTGAAACACACCCCCACTGCTCACTCTCTCTACCACCCTCATGTACAACAGATCAGATCATTTAAGACTTGGGAGCAGAAATCTATGTGAAATAAGCCATGAGCAGGACTCAAGACAGATGCACTAAACCCAATTCCATCTCCATCTCTTCAAGTCTAATTGCAAAGAGAAAAATAGTTTAATGATGACATAGCATAGACTAAAGGTTGCCACAAGTCAAGAAAACTACTGAATTTTGTCAAAGGAAGTTCACATCCATCTTTCTCTCTCTGGCCCCCTGCCACATTGCCTATCTACAATACACAGTCCACCCATAGTACTCTCTGGGTGGCCAGAGCTGCTGTTTAGTTTCTAAAGAGCATATACAAGATGAACAAAAAACCTTTAAAATGCTTCTGAGTTGGAGAGACCTGCTAACAGCTCTTACAGCCACCAATATTTCCAATACTGCCTCCAAACTCAGTACCACATAGAAGCAAAGGACTACAAGCCTAACAAGGCTTCTATGGGCACTACCTTTGATGAGACCAATGAAAATGAGATACATATGACCTTCTACCTCTCTGACATCATGAAATCCTCCTAAGGTTGTGTGTATATCCTCCCTAGTTCCTCACAAAAGTGCAATGATTGCCCTTGACCTCAAATAATACATACATACAAATATACACGTACATATATACGTAAGTATTTATCACAACAATATACCAATGAAAGCACCTTTAGGCATCTAATTACCCATCAGATCAGATATTACAAATACTTCAAAAGAAATCAACATCATACAAATTTCAACAGGGAAAAGCCTCTAAAATACCTGACCAGAATTTCTCAAAATGTTCAAAGCCATCTAAGAAAACAAGGAAAGTCTGACACACTGTCATATCCCAAAGAACCTAAGGAAATAAAACAACTAAGGCAATATAGTATCCTTGAAGAAAAAAAAGGACATTCAGGGAAAACTAAAGAAACCTAAACAAAGTAAAGACCAGTTAATAAGATATTGCCAATATTGATGTATTCATTGCAACAAACAAACCACACTCATGTAAAATTCAGTGAAATTGGGCTCGTAGTAGATGGGTAATGTGGGAATTACCTGAAATATATGTTCTAAAACTGTCATGCAACTTTTAAAACAAGGCAAGTGTTTTCTTAAATCTCTTTGAATTTAAGTCAGCAAATTGATTTGGTAATAATAAATGCTGCAAACTAAGTCTTGCCCTTCCTCCTCCACGAAGTAGGGACTATCTTTCCAGCCAGACACCCTCACAACTTCCTTTTAACTAAAAATTCTATGATAAGCCAGGCGCTGGTGGCTCACACCTGTAGTCCTGGCTACTCAGGAGGCTGATGTCTGAGGAAGCCAGTCCAGGCAAGAAAGTCCATGAGACTTCTCTCCAATTAACCGCCAGAAAACTGGAAGTGGTGCTGTGGCTCAAGTGGTAGAGTGTAGCCTTGAGCTGAAGGACTGAGGGGCAGTGCCCAGGCCCAGAGTTCAAGACCCACAACCAACCAAAAAAAAAAAAATCTATGATAAA